TATTGAACTTGTTTTTATAGACTTCTTGCTTTTTGCTGTTATCCTGAAGCTGCACTATGTGCGTTGGTATAACGACAATTCACAGGATTATCTTCGGATCATGCAGATGCAGTACCTGACGTTTATTGAAGCTATGGGCGTAAGGTTTAGAAGCAGTTGCTATGTCCACCTAGGGAGGACTCATCGATCTTTGCAATCGAGGGCTTCAGAGCATATTCTCCAATGTCTCCAGAAGAAAATAGGATCTTCGAAACCCAATGATGGTGAGGACAGGAGATCTAGTTCCTCTATTGCGAAACGTATTACAGAGACAGGGCATAAAATTTACGTTTACACATATCTTAAATCCATCTATACAACGTGTTTGGGGTGTATCCTAAAGTTTGTGGAAGCCGTAGCTGGCAATTAAGAGGTTTAGATCACCTTTATGCTTTTTAAAACAATTTGTCATCGCACTAAACCTGCCTACCTTGGTAAAATTTGTTTTGACATCAGTTAGGGCAGTTGTTGTACTACCTCTGTTATTTGGTTTAGTCACCACCATTGTTATTTTGACCCTCCATGTGTCTGCTTAACCTGACCTAAATTTATTTTCTCATCTCTCAACTTCTTTTAATCTCGCAGATATTCCTGTGACAATTTCTTATGTGATCAGACTGTTCACATTGTGTTGCGCAAGAACATTACACGGTTCGACAAGTTAAGTCTTCTCGTTGCTTTTCTAAATATCCACTTCTGTCAAAAATAGTGGCCAATGTAAACTGATTCTGTATTCTGTGTTAAATCCCCAATAAACGTATTCCATATTCCTCAATCGGATATTCTACTTGTTGATAGTGAATATTAACCTTTGCGAATGTTGTGAGCTACATAGTCTGGAAGACTAGTTTCATGTGCTGTACGGAGTAGTGTATTGGGAGAAGTATTTGCCTCAAGTTGTATTGTAGTTAATATGCGATGCATTCTTCTTGTCGTGATAAATTTGCTAGCAGTAATTATTATCACATTTTTAAAGAGGGGTGCATAACAAAGCATCCTAATGCAGTTGTCAAACTTTAGTACTATCCGTTTGAATCGAAATAGGTGCTCGCGTAGGGAAAAATTGATATTTGGACAATCGAAACATAAAATAAGTGATAAAGTTATCAACATCTTTTACACATGAGGAGTTAAAGTTATATTTTTAGAAGTGGTAGTAACTTGTTGATGATTTAGGGGACATTTTGTTTGACGGAAACAAAGGTGGGATAGATCATATGGATGCATGGATGAGCAACATCAACTGACCAGTATACACATATTTTGAGATAGAACTCAATCGGGAAGATTATTTCGAATACAGGAGTAGGGTAGTCTCCTGAAACTACTAATTTAGTGAGTAACTAGGTTTGTCTTTGAATTATGACTGAAAGTAAACGGCGTATTGGTAGGCTAAGTGATTACCATTATACAGTTACGTTTGAATAAGTGTATACGAGTACTATTTTACTCATAATTCTCTCTTTTGAATGATTGAGAAACATGGCGTTTACTTTTAGTTTTTAATTACTTAGTAAAGGCTGATATCTTTAGGGGTTTCTTGATAAAAAGATTACGTTGTCGCTACAGTAAGTTAATATGTTCATAGCTAGAAAATACTTAGGTTTGAAGTTGTTTTTTCTACTACCACAACACCAATTACAGTCGCAAAGTAAAACTAGATCTACCAAAAATAATGTGCTCCTGACTTCTAGATATCGTAGTGTACCGCGAAGGAAGAACTATATCTACAGGTTAATGGAATTAGATGCATGATATTAATTCAAAACTAGGTAACTATGATTCGCAGCCACAGAACATACCACCTCGATATTTATCCGTTTATCGTGTCAATCAATGTGACACCGGTTAAAAATAGAAAAGGAACACCGCTGGTTTTCAGAAAATCCACTTGTGTTCCATTATGGGTAAATTTTGTTTTGGAATTACACTCTACCACAGTGCACAAGTTTTATTCTTATACCACTTGTGTTCCTTAATATAGTGTACATTCTGTAATTATAGGCAAACTAGGAAATGCACCAAGTCATTACATATATAAGAACAATAATTGAGCGCACAACGGAGGGTCGATTTAAAGCAATGCCTCCTCGATACAGCCCATAGTTCACGTGAAGTAACACATGCCAGATCTCTGCAGGTGTGTCTGTGTAAGGTATCTCATTTTGCCAGTCTTTCGTCTAAATGACGATTCATATTTAACAAATGCCCAGCCTATGAATTTTACTCGAACTTTCAGTAAGTTTACAACAAAAAAGAATAACCTCCTGGGATGTGATACTGTATTACACTAGAGTTCCCCAGTTTACAGATATATCACACTTGGTAATACCAGTATTACCGCTATTAGTTGAAAAAGTAATTTGACCGTGTCACAGATGCTTTTGGCTGGATTTCTCAGTACCAAGTATTGTTCCCTATGGGAGTGCACTGAAAAAACACTACAGGGAGTTATTGCAGCTCCACCAAAAATCGAATAGAAGCATTTCATTCATACGAGACGTATAAATTGATGAATAACTATTAACTCACTGCGCTCAGCCCTGCATTACTCCATAAAGTATTCTTGTTTGGAAACGAAACGTGTACATATACACTGTACTAGTAAGTGCTAATAGACATTAGCACCTAAGCTTCATACGCCTTCTGTCCCACTACTCAATATAATAATAGTTTGATAAATATTTACGAATGCAATAAAAAGTATTTCATGGGCTACAGGTAGCACTTGGTACTAAGCGGAAGTATGGGCAGTTAGTGAAAGTAATTTCGAGAACTAATGCGACGAGAATAGCTTTTTTCTAATACATACGTACCTATCAGCGCAGTGAAAAGATAATCACGAATTGTTATCACAAGCGTTGTTTCACTACTTAGGGAATGCTGTTGCGGGCAATCATCAGAGCAACATGTGCGAAACTTGCATGTCATTGCATCAGTAATATTAGCATGCTAATTGTACTACGGCCCAGAGTGAATAATCTTAAAACTTCATACCAACAATAGATGGGATTTTGTTTTGGAAAATCAAATAATGCTCTACAGTGATAGTAACTGATGACGCCTCGGGCACAACTTATTCATAGTAACAAATTTCAAGGTGGATGTATTGCAAGACCGCTCGCAGACGCTATGTATGACGACATCTAGTAGAATGTCTACGAGGACTGACAACCTGCAGTGAGGAAGACAAAAGTGAAATAATTAGGAGACACATGATGCACAAGATAAGTATTTTTGATGTAAGTATAAAACTTGGGCATTTTGGTAGAGTATAAATCCATTATGGATGAGATTTTATTTTGGTAAATCAAACAGTGTCGTACAGTTATATTAATTGATGACGTTTCGAGCGCAAATTATAGCTCATTATCATATCAAGGCACTACCCGCACAACATTTTGCTTCATTCATATATGAGTGTTTCAGTTAAGCATACAACATGGATGATAACCACTCATCTCATTCACTTCTATTCACACTATTTCTTATGTCCGCTTTGCTGACTTTTGGTTCATAGCTCCTTCTTCGGTGCACTTCAGCCGGACAATTTAAGGAATTGGGAAAACGCACCGAGTACTTAGGGAATGCCATTAATAATTGTTTAGGCCAATTAATGCTGTAATGAGCTGTAACACTAGGCAGCTGCAGCAACAAATGCTAACTAACTAACTGACTAACTAACCACTTGAGCTAAAAATCTTGTCTATTATGAATTTATTAAGTTAGTAATAAGCAATAAATATTTCATCAAATGTATTTCGACTTAGTATTTAGGCTCTGTCATAAACTAAACTAACTCATGAAATAGAACGAGATAGAGTGTAAAAGTTATCTCGGATGAGAGGAGAAATCATTGTGAGATAACTCTTTTTCAGTTAGACAACAACCCAATCAAAAAATACGATTATCATTTGTCGGCATTTCGATGGTTATATTCCACTTTTCAACATTTATTTATACCTAAACTATAAGTCACTGTGACTGACTTTCAACACAGCTTGCTTACAAGTGCACCTGTTCAAGTTACCACATTGCATGTAGCACACAGAGGTGGAGAAAAAAGAAATTACATGGAATGGTAATGAGTATAAATGTGGGGGAACAAATAGTGGTAAGAATGGAAATGTACACTATTGTTATAATTAAAAATATAAGGGTTGGTTAGATACGTGAGGTTACACAAACTGAATGCATCTGTCATTGACAACGATTTGGAGTCACATCTCTACCTAACGCTATGCGTTTAACCCAATTAGGACACGCCATACCCTACTACTTAACACAGGAGATAGGGCACTACACCTACAATCAGATGTAGTAGTCTTTTCATATCTCCCAGCTTCATTGGTCACTTTTCGCCACTTCACGACCATAGTGGTAATGCTTCTAGTCCTAAAATGAAAAGCTCACTGCCAAGAGTACATGAAAACTGAAATAAATGCTGAAATTGAGCTATAAATACCCAAAACTGCTAAACCAGATATGACAATAGCTTTTCAATAAATAGGCTGAATATATGATGCAACACATTGTGCAGTTATCAGTATCAAGCGACATCTCCTGATACTAGTAATGCAAATGTAATGCAGTTCAAGTACATTATGACACCGATAATATGTACGCCAGAAAGCTTTTATTGCGAAATTTCATTTAAAGGCGTATAAAATATAACTTGTTACAAAGCAACGGACATGAACACTACAATTGGAGGGGATTTGCAGTAAAAACCATTCAATATGCCCGGGAGGTATGAACTGAAGCTGAAGTGATCCAGATTTAGAAGAACCCGATATACTCATGCAAAGGATTGCTTTTAGTATTTCTGTTTAGGAGCTGAGATGTGTTTCGACCACTTATTGAGGTTCCAGACGTCTTGACGAGAGGGGAAAACGCCATGGTATGATGCGTGTAGGCTTGTGGTGTGTTGACTTTATTGTCTTACTTTCCTTTTCAACCCAGTCCCAGTTGATCCAGGTTCTTCAATAGCAGTCAATTCTGCCTCCATCTATTACTATGGAAAAAAGAGATTGTCCCTATTTCGCCGGAGAGTGTCAGTATTGGTGAACATTGAATAGTTTGTTTGTTCTAATTCGAGTCTATTTGGCGGGTGACAAGAAGGCTGTCGTTGCTTAACCCTGCGTGATGTGTTTTCGCGCTAAGTATGAGTTATTACGTTCATGCCTACAGAGGCGTTAGAAGCGTTTCTTTTTGTGTAAATGAAGCATACTTAATCAGTTTTAGGCTTCTGCTCTCAAAAAGAGTAATACTTTTCTTGTATGATGTCATTAATAATCCGTAAGTCTATTTGATAGCCCAGAAGAATTATTACAAAAAAAGGGGTGTACTTAAGGAAATTATACATATAAATGACTTTCATTTTGGTTTGAAAGCCTTACAAGTTTGATATTTACTAGTGGTTTTAGATTTTCAGGTTGTAAATTGGCTACAGGCAACGGTTAATTACATAGCAGTTATTCTAAAAGATTCAGGTTTTTGATAGAGAATAAGCCCACGTAAAGAAGTTAGATATCAACTCTGAATGGATCAAGCATTTTAATTTTCATCCATAGTGAGCGGAACCCTTCATCTATTAATCATAGGGTGAATGAGACAAGCGGCTGAATTTTGCAGTGATTATGTGCATTTAAATGAAGTTCATGCTTAGAATTACGCAGTCTAAGATGTGATACTAGTGGAATTTACATTGTCACATGGAATTTCGGAACATTCTGACTGCACAACTGATGACGGCGAATATGATATCAAGCTCCCGGTGAAATCATTTGCTATGCTTGAAATTTTTGAACGTAAACTTAAAAACAGGCAGTACTTTGAAGAAATAGTGGGAAATTTCAACCAAGTTTGTTTAATTCATTCGTTTCAGATGTGCCAACTCTCATTTACGGTGCAAAATAACGCAACCACATCAATGAGCCGGTTGCTGAGCGCAGTCCTCAATAAAAGCCTAGCAAGACTGATGACTTATAAGGGTACTGCAGAAAAGACTGATGTCCGAAACTTCACATTTTTCCAACACACAATTAGTATGTTGGGCTTTTGGAATCAGAACACTATACTTAAAAAATTCAGATATCATCACTTGTAAGCAATTGCAACTTGAGTCCACCGAGGAGGAAACAATCGAAGCGATTGTGAAAGCCACCAAAAATTTGTGCCATGATCAACGTATTCGGAAAAAATTGGATTTGTCACCAGAAGAGGTCGTTTTTAAGGAGAAAGTATTCCCAGTTTTTATGCACTTAATGGTTATTGATGCGTATTCAACTGCTTCCCTCTTTTCTTCATTACAGATGTGTGCCAACGTCATTCACCCTGGGCCCAGCTAATCCCTGTCTTCAGAATAATTTATGAAGCCATTTTGTAGACTTTTTCATCTGGTTACCATTTTTATAAAACCGATATTTCACTGTATAAAATTCCTTAACTCCGTTGGCCTTGTTTTATATCATCAGCCTAAGCATTGAATGAGGTGAAAGATTCGTAAGGCAGTGGTCGCTGAGCTCGTAACTGTGGTAAATTCGATTGCAGTAGTAACTATAAAGAACGAAAATGTGTAAGCAGTTCCTTAGACAACTGGCAGGACTAATACGCTAATTACTTCTAATCATATGTTCCGTTGAATGGGAAAATGAGGGCCTTTTTTCGTCACGAAAATAGCATTAGTGGACGAGCAGGTCGTTGAAAGAGTGGGCGAACGGGGAAAAAGTGGGTATATTTTGAATTTCTGCAAATGGGATAAGTGGTTGAAAACGTGGGTCATGCTGAAAAAGTGGGACAGAAATATTTTTCCGGATATGGGCAAACGGGGAAAAAGTTGCCAATGTGGGCAAAGTGAGTAAAATCTGTTGTATTCACATCATCTTTTGCCCACCTGTTTTCCGATCAAAATTACCCATTTAGCCCACGTTTTGCCACATTGCTCAGGTGTATCAATCGACTGAATGCTTACTGCATCAAAGCACACCGGCTTATCTTGATATCAGTGTGCATTGGGTTAAGAAGAATACAGTGCATAGTCCTTCTGAAATGTCACACTGCTTACAGTTGGTACTGAGTTTCTGTCGAAGAGTAGCCTGCAGGTCTCTCCTCCTCCTACTACTAGTACCCTTGATACCTATGTCATATCAGTTGTAATAATCATTCGCCTTCAGATCACCAAGATATTTTGGATTTCTTCACGAGATACCTATGCCAGATTCAGATTATAGGGATAGAAGGCTCTTGTTGCCTATGTTAATCCTCGTGATATATATATCTCTGCAGAGATCCAGTTTCTCTTTGAAAGCGTTCACCGATGAAGCTGTTACTACTGAATCAGGTAAGGAGTTCCAGTCGTTGACCACTCTGTGAGAGAATCTAAACTCCAAACGTATTTTATTCGACCACGGTTTGAGCACCTTCTTCTGGTGACCTCTTAAATGTATCCTAGAGGGAGAGAAAAGGTTTGAAAGGTCAGTCCTTAAATCACCCTTAAATATACGGTTAGCCAAAATTAAGTCGCCTCTCCTCCTTTGGTATGATAATGGGAAGAGATTTAAATGCTCTATCCTCATATCATAAGGAAGGTGTGAGATACCACTAACTAATTTTGTTCCTACCCTCTGTACTCTTTTCAGGTTATATGTCTCCTTTTTAAAGCATGGACTCGCAGCTTGTATGCAGTACTGTAGATGAGGCCTGACATATGCTGCGTGGAGTACTTGGAACACGCCCTCGTCTAATCGTTTGAAAGCTCTTCGAAGTGCCCATGAAATTCGAAAGCTCTAGCTGCGGCTTGATTACAGTTGGCCGTTGTTTAATTTCTAAAACCTTTTGTTTCCTAACATCTGGTAGTTCTATGTCCCTCATGGAGTACGACGTGTAAGACTTCTGGCCTAGGTGCATTACTGCGATTTTCTTGGAATTAATTTCCAGACTCCAAATGTTAGCCCATCCGGTTAATTTGTCTAGATCGTTTCGTAGTACCAATCTATCATCGCTACTACTTACGGTTTTCCATATCTTAATATCGTCCGGAAATAGTAAGGAAGATGAGGTGAGAATTTTCGACACTTCAATTACGTATAATAGGAATAACAGGGGGCCAAGTACATTTCTTTGAGGTACTCCACTTAGTACTGCTCTCCACTCTGACAGTTCACCGTTAACCCTTACCGTCTGCCTCCTATCCACCAGGCAGTCACTAAACCACTCACACAAGCGTTGGTCTAATCCAAAACCTTTAAGTTTGCTAAATGGGATACCCTATCGAATGATTTACTAAGATCGATAAAGACAACATCCAGTAGATGGTTCTTATCCCTGGCCTTGACCCAATCTTCCCTAGTTAACAGTGAGTTTGTCAAGCAGGATCCTCTTGGTCTGAATCCATGCTGTTCAACTGCCAGTAAGCCATGTTTTTCCGTATGAGTTAGGAGCTGATCCCTTATGAGTTTTTCTAACACCTCTGATATAATGCAGGTCAGACTTACAGGCCGGTAGTTAGATACTAACTGTCTGTTCCCATCTTTGAAGATGGGGCTTATAAAAACATCTTTCCAGTCCCTGGGTAGCCTAGCCTGGTTCAGAGACATCTGAAAAATCTCCGTAAGTGGAATGTATATTATATATGCCAAATAGATTAGAAATCTAGGGTGAAGTCTGTCTGGTCAAGGTGATTTACTTGGCTTCAGCTTAGACAGTAGTTTCAAAATCACTGCATCATCTACCACAATTGGGGGCATTTCTGGGGCTGCATCAGTTACCTCGCTACACCTCTGGGTGGTACGTTCACGAAAGTATCCGGTGAGCTTCTCATTTTTTGTTTTGTCTGACTCGGCCACCTCTCCTGTGTTGCTAATGAGAGAGGCTATACCACTGCTAGTTTTAGTCCTGCGTCTGATATACGAGTGCAGTCTTTTGGGATAATGCACACCATTCAGTACTAACTGTCTCTCATACTCTATACGACTTTTGTCAGTCTCATACTTATAAAGGTTTCGAACTTTGTGGTATTCCATTCGAAACTCATCCCACCCTCAGCAAACCGGTCCCAATAGTTCGTCCGCTTTATGAGCAACCTACTTATTTCATTGGCAATCCAAGGTGGTTTACAAGATAGTTTTCGAGGCGTAGATCAAGGTACAAAGGGTGCAGTGACGCACTCTAGTGTGTTCCTAAATCCCCATTCAAGCCTCCTTGACAGTCTGGTGTGCATTAAAACAGCACTTGCAACTGATGTTTTTTACCACAACTGAAGTACTCTCTGGTCTGGAGAGACTTCTTGAAATTCATTTTGAAACGCGGAAGCATTTGTAGTTATGGGTGGTATTATCGTTTACGGTACCACATGTGATGAAAATGAGTCCTACTTAAAATTTCCTAGCAAAGTAATGGTAATGAATGCTACAAATTTTTGATAAGAAAATTATTCAGAGGAAATGTTTAGTTCATACGTCTAAAATGCGATAATTTACGGAGTCTTCTGTAGCACTTACTTGTACACCATCTGTCTTCCAAAGTTAAAAATGACATCGAAATATTAAGGCATTGTCCGGTTGCTTGGCAAAGAATGTGATATATGTGACAGTTGAAGTCAAAGAGAAATGCTGTTATAACCACAGAGGGAGAAGAAGAAGAATGAACCGCTGTGAGAAGATGTAATGAAGTACAACATTACTCGACTTTGCATATTTCCTTCTTCTAATTACAGCATAACCAATGGTACACTTCATTTGTTGAATTTTAGAAGTTCAGTAGCACCGATCAGCCTGGTCACAGCAATTCAATATAGTTCAAATAATTACAACTAGCAGTTACCTACAGGGAATCGCTTGTTACCACTTTTAATTATATATAAATCTCATAATGCTGAGTACATTTGTCTTATTCTGTTGTAGTGAAATTGGAATTCTTATGATGACGACATGAAGGGTGGACTTATTAACACATGGTGAAAAACGTAGTTGGTGGCACAGTTCAATGTAGGTGAAATAATGCTTTCCTGAACTTACTTAATTACTTACTTATTTATTCGTTTACTGTAGAGGTTCAGTGAAATCCTACGTCAATGCCCTAAGTCATATTAGTTAAATTAACGCTTACACATGAAATCTATATGAAAAATTTTTATAGAGTAACGCCACAGTGTATTACTTTATGAAGACACCTGATATATTAAGCGCTTCATTTTGGTAAGTGTAAATTAGAGTTGTGACGACATTTCCAGCGATGCTAGAATAGGTGTAGAAGCAGCAGTGATGAAATCATTCGGAATACGATTACAGATTACGCAAATATAAAACACCGAAGAGACTAAAGTATACCTATAAAAAAAAGCGAAAAATCTTAAGTGAAGTTCACATGAACCGGATGTGGCCGTACAAGATTATGTCTATTTAAAAAAAGAGTCTCGTCTCATCATTAGAAAAAGGTGCCAAATACGTCCGCTGCACGTTCCTCGACTTCACTTCTGCTTTCAACTCTGTACTTAGATGTCTCTTGCTAAATAAGCTCTAGATGGGACAAATTGAGATCTGGGTCACTAACTGGTTGCATTCCTACTTCTCAAACAGTATGTAGTTCACTGTATGCTAAGGTAAATCCTCCTCCGCTGTGCTCACTGAAGCTGGTGTCCCTCAAGGTGCTGTACTCTCCCCACTTCTCTTTTCTTTCTTTCTCTCTTTCTTTATTTCTTTCTACATGACTTACCATATTCAAATGACATTAATTTTGTTAAATATTCTGACGACCTGACTGTATCTTTGCCTGTCAAATGTCAAAGTGACTGCTCCAAACTGAATGGCATTTTATCAGAAATCAGCCAGTGGTCCAAGGAAAACGGTCTCACCACCTTAAATACCTCTAAATGTCAAACAGTCGATTTCACCTTTACGCATAAATCTGACCTAAACAAACTGGTGGTTAGCACTGACGAGGTGTGCAACATAGATGGCATTGAAACAGAGACCAAGTCAGAAATTAAATATCTTGGCGTCATTCTATCTGATGATCTTTCCTTCCTGGTCGTCTCATATCTTGATGATTTCTAAGGAAATATTCCTTCCATCTCACCTTCTACATCAAGAAGTTAAGACATTGTGGAATAAGCCAACCCTTACTATTACGATTCGTTATTTTGTACGGAACATCCAGGAGATAATGACTTGTAATTTTGGTAATATTAAATGGAATTGACTCATAAGATTACAAACTAGACTATCAAACAAAAGGTCTTGGATTCGAATATTAACTATTCTACCTCATATAATACAAATTTTGAGTGCAACTCATTGTCTGATAAGCAAACATATTAATTTACCGAGTTATATTCCTTAAATAAAACTGAAAATTCAATAGAGAACAGCGTCAAACTAATCACAGAAGCGCTGTTGGAAAGGGAGTGCTTTTTTCACGTATTTCACGTTATTGAC